AGTGGCCATGTGACCATGTAAGTGAAAGTCTTCTGGAGGGTGCTCTGGGGAAAGCTCTTGCTTCCTTGCAGACTCAGCTAGCATGGCCCTTCTGACTCCCCACTTCTTCCTGCCAGAGAGTGGAATTAATTCTTGGAAAAGTGGCAGCCCTTTTGGGACCATGAGGCACAAAGCATGAGGGAAAGCCCAAGGGACTCTCAGAGATGCTGAGCCAAGCCAACAGCTACCCACCTCATTACGTCTTGCTGTGTGTGATAAATTAGCCCTTTTAATTAAGCCAGTGAGCCACATTCCTGAAACTCAATTCAAATGACATCAACACAGGTCCAGCATCAAACTGGGGAATGCCAAGCAACACATTATAGGGAGAAAAGTCCATATCGTGGACAAATAAAAAGCCATCAAATCTTTATTCACAGCTAGTTTTTAGCATAATCTCTGATGAGTTATTTCTAACAGTTCATATAGACTCTTCCATTTTTTTCCCCCTTCCCACTTGAATACCTAGGCAACCAAATGAAATGCAAAGAGAGTATCTAACCAAGACCAACAATATATCCACTAGGAGTCATTTCACAAATTCCCTCTTATTCAAGTTGACTGCATTCACAAGACTTGCATTAGAATCCCAACTGGTCTTCCCCTCCATCCTCCAGTCACTATAATGAAGTTACTGGGTTCAAGTGCTTTTCAAACCTTCAGAACTGCTCCAGGCAGATCCTTGAACAAAGATGGCACACGAGGGCTGAACTGCCAGGAGGTGGCGCCATCTTTCAAAAACCAGCATCTGGTTTCCTCAGTGGGAGATGTAGGAAGAGTCTGAATTTGGCATTGAAACACACACGGGGGTGTCCCAGAAGACGCATCAAGGTCTATAAGACTCCAGCTGGTCTCCTGGACTCTAGATCACATTCACTGCGTAAAACAGTTTCACAACCTTGAACCTTTGCCCAAGCTGTTCCCTCCATGGGGGCAAACCATCTCTTCCCAGACCACACCCATCTAGCAAACACCTGTTCATCCTTCAAGACTTCAAACAAGAGTGCCTGCTCTCTGAGAGGCTTTGAACCTTGAACAAATTAAATGAAAGAATGCTGGGAAAGCACCTGATACAGGGCCTAGCACTAGTAAGTGCTCAATGAACAGGAGCTCTTAGAAACCATTGCAATTGTTTATCTGCCTTCTTATGTATCCGTGTCTTGTTTGTAACTAGTGCAATTTATTGCTGGTGCAATACCCAGCACAGCATGAAGAACATACAGATAAAAATCTGCCAAAAAAAAGACTGAGCCCCTCCCCAACACTCCACTCCAGCCAAACTGGTCTATTTGATGTTTCCCAAACATGCCTCTTACATCACCCCACCCCCATACCTTTGCATATGCTATTCCTCCTTCCTGAGTGCCCTTCCTCTCCTCCCCCTCTACCTAACTAGACCCTCCTAGACCATCTTCAGGTAACCCTGGACTGTAACCCCAGGGGGACTGGGAGAACCTCCAGTACCCCTCATTCAGGGCCTAGCACATAGTGGGCCCCTGAGAGAATGAGCCCATCACTAAATGAACCAGCAAAAACTGGCCAAGGGTTAGGAGATTTGGGAGAACATTCTCGAGGTTAACAGAGGTCTGCCACCTGCCCCATGACAGGGAACCCCCACAGCTGGTAATCTGGACCTTTAGTCATGGGAGGGGCCTTTGGGGCAAACTGTGACCCAAGGCCATGGTCCACAACTGAGTCACTGTGTTTTATGATCCCTGAATGAGTGCTGACCAAAGGCTCATTTTCTGGGGGAAAGGAGGGTGCACCCATCCATGGATGGGTGAGGGATGAGGCCCAGCACAGGGCTCAGATTTGCCACAAGGACTCAAGGTCCTATTAAGTGTAGCCCGGAAAGCAATAGGGAAGGGGGGAAGCAGCAAGCACCAGCCAGGTAGTTGGAAAGGTGATCTGCAGTCCCAGCTCTGTCCCAGTGCCATTGGGCTCTCCCTGAACAAGACACCTCCCCCCTGCCGGGCCTCAGCTTCTTCAACAGCAGAAAAATTCCCAAGATTGGAGGCGCTTCCCTGTTCCAACTAGCAGCAATTCCAGAGAACGCAGAAGAAAAAGAAACTGAGAGCAAATAAACAACAATATGATAGTAGCAGCTAACGTTTATCAGGCTGTCACCTGGCACTGTGCTAAGTGCGCTACAAACATCATCTTGGCATGGCTCCAAGCTGGGAGAGGTACTTCATGGCTCTGAGCCTCAGTTTTCCCATCTGTAAAATGGGGATAATGCTAGTTTCCATATCAAGCATCGTAAGCTGTTAGGCATTATTATTACTATGATTCCTATGATTTTATGGAGGAGGAAAAGAGAGGCCCTGAGTGGTAAACTCACTTGTTTGCTGCCTCTATTAAATGCCGTGGCCATACTGGTCTGACCTCATGCTCAGGGTCTGACCAGCCTGTGGGTCAGCTGGGTGTGGGCATGGCTATGCAAATCAGCAGAACATCAGCCCTGGCAAGTCCCAGGCACCCTTCAGAGGGCGACCACGGCAGAAGAGCTGGCGGCCAACCCTGAGCTGAACAAATACCATATTCTCACCCCCAGGGCCAGGGTTGTCTTGTTTCCTCATGAGTTGATGCGCCAAGTGCTACAGGCCCAGAGAGGGGCTGGAGGGGCTGTCAGCAGACCAAAGACACAGTTTTGTGGCAGAAAGGGCCCAGGTCCCAGGATGGAAGCAGAAAATGCCTGGTTTCCACCCCAGCTCTCACATGCTGTGTGGCCTTGGGCAAGTGGCTTAACTTCTCTGAGCCTCAGCTTCCTCCTCTACGACACAGGATTCATACTTCCTCACATGAGGACTGGAGTGGGGATGGACAAGTCCTGAGACACAGTCTCAAGAAATGGAGATGAACCTGAACCTAAATGGAAACCAGCAGCACAAAGTCATTAATTGAGAGCAATGGGAGCAGCAGACCCCATTTATGGGGGAACTCCCCCACCAAGCACGTCAGGAAGTACAAAACACGGGTCTGACCGCCTTCCAGAGGTGTAGAGGCGGCCAGCAGGGCTGAGGGCTCGGGACCCAGGTCCTCACCTGACAGTCACCTTAAGTCAGGCCTTAACTCTGGGCCTCGGTTTCCCCTCTTACAATGAGAGAGCTGAAGAAAAGGGAGAGTAGAGGAGGCAGGGGAGGTAGAATGGAAAAGCTATCACTGCAGCCCCAGCATTTGCTGAGGATTCCCTCTTCCGAGTGCTGAGTGAGTTCAGAGAAATGCCCTTGAGGCCAGAAAGGACCATCCTCATTTTACAGAAGAAAAAACTGAGGTTCACTGAGGTCCATCACACCACTCATCCCAGGTCACACAGTGGCAGAGCCAGAGTTGGAAGCCACTTAGCCTCCAGAGCCCAATGCTGAGGGCCCCTGGAGTGAGGCTTTTTGTGCCCCGTTAAAGTGAGTCGGACACTACCACCCCCTGGTGGCTACTCCTTGGAATTGCAGGTGTAAGTCCTCAAGGTAGGGAAAGGAGGTCTGAGGCCCTCACCCTTCCCACCTACATAGGAGAAGATAAACAAGCAGGAAGCAACAGGGCAGGGCCCTCAGGAAGCTGCAAGGACAGAGCCAAGGCAAGCCACCTGGGGACTCCAAGGACAAAGGCTCCTCAATTACAGAGAGTAGAAGAGGGAGTCAGGCCACCAGGGAGGATGCCAGCAAGCAGAGACTATAAAAAGACAGGCCTTAAATGCTTTTCTCTCCATAACCTCTGTCTTCGCATACACACACAAAAGTTCAAGTACAATCAGATAAGCTTGAGTTGGTGCCGCCTGGGAGGCAATGAGAAAAGAGTCAGGAAGAAATCAGTGGAAAAGAACGCTTAAAAAAGAAAACCAAGCAGGTTTCAAATGTGAGCACATCTGTGGCTGGGATCTCAACACCCAAGGAGGCTTTCCGGGGCTACTCAGTGGATGGCTAGCCGAGGTCTGCGTTTCTGCTCTGGCTCTGTGGCCCCCAGCCCTGCCATCTCCCCCCGATGCTGGCATAGACGTTTGCCCATCAAGAACCCTGCCAGGGGCATTGTCTTCAAGCCATATTGCAAAGGAGCAAATGGGGGTTTGAGAAAGTGGAGTTTCTTGCCCATGACCAAAAAACCAGAGGGATGGAACCTAGGATTCTGATGCTATAGGATCCCTTGTCTCCCAATCCAAGACCAGGCACAAATACCCTTGAAATGCATGGAGCTTGTGATCCAAATGACCTCATGAGTAGGACTGGGGTTACCTCCTTAAAGAAATCCTATCTGAGATGATGCCCCACATGGGGCCTGGGGACAAGAATAATAATAAGAAGAAGAAAAAGAAGAGTAACAACAACAACAACAATGGTAATGGTAACTCTCATGAAAGTGTTTCCCATGCACCAAGGACCATGCTGAACTCTTGCCGCCTTATCTCCTCTGAGCCCCACAACAACCCTGTGAAGTAGATGCTATTATTATCCCCATTTCACGATGAAGAGACTGAGGCCCAACACCTGTCTGCACACAGAGCTAGGGTCTGAGCCCTGGAGATCTGGCTCCAGGACCAGCTTAGTTAAATTAACTCACTGGCGCAAAAGAAACAGAAATCAGGATCCTGTTTTCTAGATAATGAAACCAAAGTACAAAGAAGTAAGCTGCTAAAAGAAACTGAGAGAAGCAGTGCTGGGACTCGAACCCAGAACTTTCAGACCCCAGGGCATGTTCTTTTCTGCTCCATGCCAGGCACCTGGGGTTACCTCTCTGCACTGGGCCAGAAACCCAAGAGGAGTGAAGGCAGAGCCACCAACACCCTCCCCATCGAGAACCACCGCGCAGCCAGTCTGGCAACACTGGATTCCTGGACAGGCACCTGTGCCCCCTTGGCCTCCTTGGGCCCCTGGGCCAGCCTGGACTGTCCACACAACCGCATTCCCAGCAGAGTCTGATGCCTAACAACCCCACGCGAGTCCCAGTCTGGCCACGCCAGCACCACTCACCACAAAGGGCCCACTCCTCTTGTCCTTGCATAAACTGTGGCTTCTCCGGGGGCCCAAGGCTGTGGGAGACCCCAGCCAGAGTGGCTGCTCCCTGTCTGGCAGGGCATCCTCCTTCTCCAGGTTCTGTGGCAGCACCTGAGGCACAAAACACAAGCAGAGGACTTTACTGGTGCTTTTCCATGGACAGGAAGAATAGGTCACAGCCAGAGAGTCCATTCTGTGCCTAAAAGGGCAAATAGAAAACAAAAGGGCCAGAAACCCCATCCCACGGTGGTCCACCTTATTGATGGGAGGTAGTATATGGGGTCGAGGTTCAGGCCAGCCTCAGCCACTTAATCACTGTGTGTGGCCTCAGGTTAGTGTCTTAACCTCGCTGAGCCTTGACCATGTGGGGAAAGGCCCCTGATAACAGTGTTCAGCTTCTAGGCTCAGGGGAGAACCAAGGGAGGAGCTGCACATGGGAAGTGCGTGACACAGTGCTGCCACCAGGGTGCTGTGCATGAGTCCTGGGCACCTGCCTTGCTTTGGGATCCTCTCCCCCATGCCTGGTACCTGGGGAGCCCTCCTCATTACCATCACTGGTAACTTTTGGTGACCTCATGTCAGACACCTCTCCATGCCTGCAAACACACATGCACAGAAGCACAGATACGGAGAGAAGTGATATGCGAACAAGGCAGTACTAGATATCCTAGTCTGAATCTTGTGGTTTTGTCCCAGCCAGTCATATACAGGGGACACACTCACAGGCCAGTAATTTGTAGTTCATATGTATCACACTCCCCCTGCACAGGTAAGGAAAGGAAGGCCCAGAGAGGGAAGGCATCTGCTTAAGAACACACAACATGAGTAAAGAACAAGGCTGGCTTCTGGATCCCTTGCCTCGCAGACTCTGTGTTTGATGCCTTATGAGACCCTCTGTGTCCTCCTTCCTCCCTGGCTGTTCCTTCTCAGCCTCCCTGCATCTCAAAGGGATGTCTGTTCATCCAGTGCTAGCCTTAGAACCTTCTCTTTTCCTGCTCCATCACTCCCGCAGGGATCTCTCTCAACACCGCTTTGCTTTAAATACATCACATCCGTGCATAGACAACTCCCAATTTTGTCTGTCCATGTTGGGACCCCCTGACTTGCAGATCCCACCACAAACTCCACATACCCCCACCCTGCACACACTCATCTCAGCTTTCATGGGCCCCCTTCCTTCCAAAACTGCTCCTCCCCGATCCTGCCCCTCACCCAGCTGTGCCAGCCAAGATCCTCAGGTCGCCCTCCATTCTTCTACTTCTCTCCACCTCATCAACGAAGCTGAGACTTTGCCTTCGAAATATGCTTGCAAACCTCACATCATAAATCAAAATCAACTCAAAATAGATCAAAGCCCTCAAGTCCAGAGAGAAATCTAGAAAGCCCTCAGAAGAAAACACACCAGGTGTAAATGTTCATGACCTTGGATTAGGCAGTGGTTTCTCAGATATGGCATCAAAAGCACAAGTGACCAAAGAAAAATAAACTGGAGTTCATCAAAATGAAAAACTTGTGCTTCAAAGGGCACCATCGAGAAAGTGAACAATACAACCCACAGAATGGGAGGAAATTTCTGCAAATCCTATGTCTGCTAAGGCGCTTGTGTCCAGAATATATAAAGAGTAATGACAATTCAACAATAAAAAGAACAATAACCCAATTTAGAATGGACAAAGGATCTGAACAGATGAAGAAGGGACACATATGGTCAAATAGGCACATGGGAAGATGGGTCATGGAAAAGGCAAGTCAAAACCACAGTGAGATACCTTTATACCCAGGAAGATGGCTAGAATCAAAAAGTCAGGTAAGTGTTAGCAAAGGATGTAGAGAAATCAGCCCTCACCCACTGCTGGTAGAACGTACAATGGTACGTTGGAAAGGCTCCAAGGGAGCCTTGGAAATCTGTGGCTCCCTTATGCTCTGGCCCTGGCCCACTGTGCCCACTGGCACCCTTCCAGCATCCACGGGACCAAGGAGACCTTCCCCTGTCCACTGTCTCAGAGTCACCTCCCTATCACCTCTTCTTCTATCTCCCCAGGACTTACTCCTCTCACTCACTTGAGGTCTATTTGCCCCCTGGACCAGAGCCCTCCACTGGCACATTCTGTCATTACAGACACGTTCTCTCTCTGGGCTATACCATACACTTGCCATGAGCCACCTGTGGCTTTTAAGCACTTGCATGTGGCTCGTGGGACTGAGGAACTGAATTTTTACTCTTGTTTAATTTACATTGAAAGAGCCACATATGGCTGGTGGCTGCCTTACTGCACTGCGTGGCCTGATACAGTGGGCCGGTCCCTCCCAGCGCCCGGGTGCCTACAGTGGGGCCTGGGACAAGGTGAGTCCATTTATTAAATGTAGTAAATGAGCAGAGGTCTCAAGGTGCTTCTCTCTGATACCCTCCAACCTCCTTCACATCAGGCCCTGGGCCAGTGGCTCGACCACACATTGCTTCACAATAAATCTCCAACCTCCCGGGATCAAGTCTCACATGGGGCTCCCTGCCCAGCGGGGAGTCCGCTTCTCCCTCTCTCTCTGCCTCTCCCCCTGCTTGTGCTCCCCCTCAGATAAATAAATAAAATCTTAAAAAAAAAAAAGAGCATCTGTGTTCACATTTGCTTATATTTTCAGGAAGAAAGTCTCCATGAATACGGACTAGAAAAGCAGCTAAGGGGTCGTAGAATGGGAGGAATGCTAAGGATGGGTAAGAGGGGGACAAGGGGGTTGGTACTCCATGCCTTTAAGTATTTTCGGAGCCTCTGGAAAACGTTCCCTCTTTTGAAACTCAAATAAACCAGTTAATTAAATAGAGTACTGAAGTCGGGCCTGGGACAAAGTTTTGATAAATGCTTCTTAAGTGAAAAAGAAAAAGAGAGAAAGAGGTGGAGGGGGGAATCACTTTAAGTACAATCACACCCGGGTCCGTGGGCAGCACTGGCTGTGAATCCAGAAAACCTGATCCAGGGGAGCAAAGGCTTGCACCGTGATGCTTCCTGAAGCTCCGCTTCTGACACAAAAACTCCAACCAACCCAAACATCCAACAACAAGTGTCCGGATAAAAAAAAGTTTGGACTTAGTCACTTAATAAAATACTTGGCAGCCCCTGAAAATAATAAGGTAAATGTCTACACACTGATTTTTTTGTTTGTTTGTTTTGTCTTGTTTTTGTGTTTTTTACTGTTAAGTTAAAGAAAGCAAGATGTAAGATTGTCTCTAGGATACTGCCATGTTTCATAAGACAACAGGTGATTTACCTGTTCTCTGTACCTGGCTGGGCTTCTTACCCATGGAGTTAGGCACAATAGGGGCGGGAGGAGTCTCAGATGGGCCTGGAAGGCTGCACCCCACACTTATTATTTAGGGGAGCTTCTCATTCCAAACTGTATGCTTACCAGAACACGTTCAACTTCACACAAGCGTCCACTGCTTTTGCAGTAAGGAAAATACAATTACAAATAAAGATGTCCGATGACGGACACGCAACTCTGTAGTGTAGGAAAGCCCCAGAGATCTCGAAGACGAAGAATGGCTACATCAGGGGGAGTAGGGAAGGGAAAGGGGCCTAGGGGTACATTTTCTTATACACTCTCGTGAGGTCTGGATTTTTAACAACCAACATTTTGGACTGCTGTGCGGTTTTCATTTATTTTTTTTCAAGGTCAGGAACCAAAGCTGGTTGGGCAGGAGAGAAGGGAAACAGGGAGCTGGTCCAAGGCTTCCCAATCCCTCGGTGAGAAAACAGATCCCCTGACAACGAGCACTCCTGGGGCCTGTGCACCCCGGGCGGGCATCCAAGGCTGGGCCAGGGGCCCCTTTCACGCCACCCTGACTCTCCCGCCGCCAGCAGGCCCCTGAGCAAGGTGCCGGCAAATGGATTAGGTGTCACATTTCCTTGTCCTCCCCTTCTCCCGCTGTGCCCATGGTAACAGCCTCATGGAACCCCTCCTCGGGTGGCCCTGCTCTCGCGCCCACTGGGGGCCCAGGCCACTCTGTGTCTCCATTCAGCCTGCCAACACAGCTGCCAGGCAGAAACTTCTGTCAGTCTTTGGTGAGGGATTGGAGCCCCACTGAGGCAAGGTCACTGCCTCACACACAACTGGTGAGCGGCAGAGTCAGGTCTGAACGCGGTACCTGGAAACCCTTAGGTGACCCTCCGTGTCACGATCTGTCTTGGTATCAGCCCACTGTTTCATTTCTACAACATCCTTGTCCAGGCTGGACCCTCTACTTTCTTTTTACAGATGAGGAAACTGAGGCACAGGCCCTCAGGGAAAGGGCTTGCCCTTCCCTCAGTCTAAGAAGCCGGGGTGGGTTCCGTCCACACGCAATCAAAATTTCAACCCCCTATTAGAGAATGCACGCTTTGATGAAAAGAGAGGCAAAAAGAAGAATTCGTGTTCGTGTTTGCTTGTATTTCCAGAAAGAAACTCCATATGAATTTGGACCAGAAAAGAACCTAAGTAGTCATGAGATGGAAGGAATGCTGAGGGTGGGTGAGAGAGGGACACGGGGACTGATACTCAGATTTTTTCCCTCAAATTCAAGGTTCCTCGTTCACCACCAAGGAGCTTACTTGAAAGCCTGGGTATCAAGCCAGACCTGGGTTCAAGCCCTAGGCTGTTATCTGGCGCTGTGTGACCCAAGACAATTTACTTAACTTCTCTGAGTCTGGGTTTTTTCCTTCTGTACAAGATGATCACATCCGCCGCTGACATTTTGGCGCCCTGCCCACAACTCAAGTACGTGCCAATGGCAATGGTGTCCTGCTAGGGGAGTTTTCTCCCCACCACTGAGCATGGCACCAGCCAGGATGGATGAGTCTGGATGTTGCTGGCCCCAGAAATAGCCTTAGGCGAGGGCAGAAGGGAATTGGAAAGTAAATACTGCAGACTCTTTGCCCCTAGGACAGAACAAGTCAGGGGTGATCTATGCCACTTCCCACAGGTCTCCAGTGAGAACGAGCCTCAGAGGCCCACAGGGGCACTGCTATCATCAGCCTCCCCCTTCCTTGCCTCACTTCTCCAGTGGGATCCCACTAGGGATCACCTTCTAAAATAACTACTCGTGGGGCACCTGGGTGGCTCAGTTGGTTAAGCACCTGACTCTTGATTTTGGCTCAGGTCATGACTGTGGCGTTGTGAGATCGAGTCTCGTGTCAGGCTCTGTGCTCAGCAGGGAGTCTGTTTGTCCCTCTCCTTCTGTTCCTCCCCAAGCTCATGTTCTCTCTCTCTCTCTCTCTCTCATATAAATAAATAAAATCTTAAAAAATAAAAATAAAACAATTGCTTGCAAAGGGCTGCTTCTATGGAAACCCCAAACCTCAATCCCACAGAAGAGGCATTGCCATGAGACTCACAGAACACTGCTCATTCCCTCATTCCACAAGTATTCCTTGCCTGTTCACAGAATGTCACACATGCCGCTGAATATTAGGGACAGGATAATGAACTTGATATAACATACAGGAAAGGACAGCAGGGCTCAATAAATGAGTATCATCCTTCTAGGACAGAGGTTTCAAACCGGTGGCCCATGGACTAAATGGAGCCAGCCTGAGTCCAGAACCAGCTGCCCTCCTCCCCCTGGGGAGTGAGCTCTCTATTTGCCACAATCCCCACCACTCCCTAGAGCCCCATACCCAGCCAGACTCCATTCATTTGCATACCCACCTGGCCCACAAGTGGGATGGGAGTTTGAAACCCCTGGCCTATATGTCTAACCAGCATTTAAAAAAACTGAAACAGCCTTCCTACTCACCTTTTGAATGTCTCGAGTGCCTGACTCCCGCCGGCAGTGTCCCATTTTGGTCTCCTTAGCCTCGGAACTGTCTCCGGGGAGGCTGGACCTCCCTTTGGGCTGCTCTTGCCTCCTCTCTCTGGCTTCCTGCATCACAGACAGGCCCTCCCGGACTTTGGCAGGGGGGCCCTTTTCCGAACAGGCCCTCTTGACATTCAGCGGTGACCTGCCATAGTCGTAGGGGTGCTCACCCCACTGGACCACACTGCCCTCTCCTCCCCTCCCGATGGATTTCTTTGGGGTCCCTTTCTTCTGGTCAGTGGGAGTGGATCTGGCCAACACACAGGCCCCACTGTCCAGATCCTCCCAGGGAGTGGGCTTTGACTCGGCTGGGGAATTCTGATACTTTGCACTCTGATGTTTACTAACAAAGTCCTTTCGGTCATCCTCAGGGACTCCCAAAACTTTTCTCCAGGGACCCACAGGACCAGAGGAGGCCTCTGGATGTTTTTCATTAGGAGCTGAGAGCGGCGGAGCCCACAGAAGAGGGCTGAGTTCGGTGTTCGTGGCTGTCCACAAGGCTTCTGCCGGCTGCTTGCCGGCGCCAGGAGCAGAACCGTGGTTTGTTTCAGCAAAACTGGCTTGTTTGCAGAGACTCTCAGCTTCAGACCTCTCCTTCCAGCTCCTCCTTCTTGGGTCCACCCTGTCTTGCTGGCCTGGCCTCTCCAGAGTCGAGCTGCTGGGCGATGTGGGCTTACCCTCCACCAGATCCTGACCCTCATGCTTCTTGTATTCGGCCATCAGAGCATCGATGTCGAGAACGCTAGATCTGTAGCCATCTTTGATCCTCCCTGGGACCCTCGCACTGTCCACCTCAGGGTCCCTCCTGATGAGGAGATCGCTGGCTTCTGGGTGGCTTTTGGAAGCTGGGGGTGTTTGGGGGGCATTGCTGGGAAGTGTTCTGTTCCCACTATCCTTCGAATTGTTCTGAAAACCGGTGCCATCCTCTGGTCCCCGACGGATCCATAAAGCTTTAGCATCCAGGATTTTTTCACTAGAAGGATCCAGAGTCCTGTCCCCAAGAGGTGATGGGCAGTCTGCTGGCTTCAGAGGTTTTGAGCAGCTCGCACCGTGGTGTTCTTTGCCCTTAGCCCAGTTGTTACTGCCCTTGGCCTCCAGTGGCTCTTCATGGTTAAGAGAAACCAAGGTGGATGTTAGAGGAAGAGGAGAAGGAGGCAGGACTGTTTTTCTAGAATGTTCTGTCAAGTTTTCAGGCCCTGACTTAACAATGCTCTTTGCTTTCTGAGTATCGGGAATCTGATATGTCACTGCGAAAAATGTCGCCCTGGGTTCCAAAGAGGACCCCTGCTTCACCGCTGGCCGAGTTGGGTCCTGGGAAGCACCTGGGCTCACCTCCTGGGTCTCCACCCTGTGGGGGGATAGCTCAGGTTTCCTTAAGGCACTGGTGGTGGGGCTCGAATGGTCTGTTCGTCTCTGCTCCACCTTCCAGGAGTTTTCTGGGCCCAGGAAGCTGAATTCGTCAAACTTCACGTCATGGGGCAACGTCCGCCGTCGCCACCTCTGGTCTGGGGGACCCGCCTTCCGCATCTTGGCCTCAGGCTCCGGTGCCTGGGCCAGTTGTGGCTCACCCTCACCGGCAGCCAGAGCGAGGGGTCCTTTCTGTCCACCCACTTCTGGTTGCGGCCGTGCCCATATGTCAGACGGCTTGTCCTGATTCCTGGTTGGTAGATCCAGAGGGAACCCCTGGGGGGCACCCCTTTCTCCCACAGAGCTGCAGCCTCCTGACTTGTTCCTGGCCCCATCCGGCCCCTCCTGCGGGGCTTCCCTGATGGCAGCCTGGCGGGCCCTCACAGAGCCGGCTTCCGGGCCGCAGGGCCTGGCTGGGTGCTCGCTCTTGACTTCAGGGCTCAGTTCTGAGCCTTTCTCTTCACTGGCCACCATGGTCGCTTTATGCCAGTTCACAGTCACCCCACCTGTACATTTGGGTGACAGGCAATTGCCCCCAAATGTGTCCCTCGGCCCTCGGAAGTCAGGCTTTAGCCCACTGACATCGTGAGTCCCTCGAGCTTCCCAAATCAAACTGGCCCTTTGGACAGACCCCGCCTGACCTTCCAGCCTGTAATCTAGGTCAGCAGGGGTGACCTCATGGGACTGCTGCCTCCCCTTTGGAGAGAGCTGAGATCGGCCACTTCGCAGGGTCACGGCTTTTTCCTCTGACACCGTGGGGACGGCCTCACTGTGTACACGCTTGCCGACCGTGTGCACGATGTCATACTTGGGCTCAACCCTCTGGGATGGGGGAGGCTTTTCGGAGCGTTGGAGGAAGGGGGTTTTATTGCATTTCTCATCCAAAGGGTGTTCTTCAGGGAAGGGCATGTGAAACCCTTTGGGTTCACCATTCGGAAGGGCGGTCTGTCCCCATTTCTCTGTACGGGGATTTTCAACCCATCTGGAGTTCTGTTTCACAAGGTTTGTCTTTTCTGGCACGTCCTTCCCCAGCCAAGAGCTTCTCTCGTGCCTAGGTCTGACTTCTGAGACAAGGGCATCAGCCCCATCCCTGGCGGGCGTGGCCAAGGGACAGTGTTGTGACTGGTCAGCCACCGTGTGTCTCTCCACATGATGCTCAAACACTGTGGCCCACACAGTCTGGAAGCTTCCATCATCTTCTGCATTGCTGTCAGGAGGGCTCAGAGTCCTCCTCAAGCTTTCACCCCGACAGGTGCCAGGGACTTGGCGAGAGCTGTCTTTCCGCTCTGTCTGCCTAGACTTCTCCCGGAGCGAACCAGGCTTCCAGGGGCTTCTCAGGACGGGTGCTCCATCCACACCATGCCCTTCCTTTTGCTGGGAAAAAAAAAAAAAAAGCAGCAATCCAACTTAATTTAAGGGACTTGAGAGAGAAAGGAAGTGGTGAGATGATTGGAACAGCTGCTTTTAAAATCACAACCATGAGATACCATAAAATTCCAAAGACTGAACACACCCAGTGTGGGTGAGGATGTGGGAAAATGGACACTACTGGATACTGCTGGCAAGGACATAAATGGGTATGACTTTTGGACAGGTCAGTATATGTCATGATCTTAAAATATTCATTTCCTTTTAATCTGGCCAATTTCCTCCCTAAGACTCTTTCTTGGCTCAGATGCCCAAGTCTGGGTAAACAAGAGTGCTCGGGGAGGGAGCACTGCAGAGACAGAAAGCCAACGACACAGAAACAAACCTAAATGCCCACCTGTAGGGTGTGGGCTAAGTGAGCTCCAACATAATCCAGACAACGGAGTATCATAGGGCACCTGGATCCACAGAAGGGAGGGGCAGTGGCTCCCAATGTCACATCTAACAACACAGAAAGCACTAAGGTGTGGGCAGGAGAACAGCAGGCTGCAGAACAGTGTATTTATAAAACAATACGGCTTCTAAACAACTGTGTGAGTACATATAGACACATATAGATACACAGAGGAGAAAAGATAGAAATCAAACTGTAAGGGAGTGAGGGGAGGAGGAAGGAATGACGAGGAGAACATCGTTTTTCCACTTCTGTACTCAGTTCCACTTGATTTTATAACATACACATATTAGTCATTTCTTGATCTAGAAAGAAGTCTACTTTAACAAGTTAAAGAATGAACCATCTAACCCAGTAATCCTGTTCCTGGAGAGATACCCAAAAGAAGGAAAAACGAGTTCAGACAAAGACTTGCACACCTGTATCTACTAAAGTAGGATTCACAACCACAGAAAGGTGGACATCACCCAATGTCCACCGGAAGAAGAACGGATCCACAAATTGTGGTCTATCCCTATAATGGGATGGTATTCAGCCATAAAAAGGAATAAAGTGCTGATTTATGCTCCAACACGAATGCCCCTTCAAAGCCTTATGCTCACTGAAAGAAGCCAAACACAAAGGGGTACGTGTTTTGTGATTCCATTTTTAAGGAATGTCCAGAAGAGGCAAGTCTGCAGGGATGGAAAGTAGATTGGTGGTTGCCCAAGGCCACAGGTGGTAGATGGGAAGTGAATGACTGGGTAAAGGTTTCCATTTGGAGTGATTAAAACACTCTGTGGGCGTCTGGCTGGCTCAGTCAGCAGAGTGTCCGACCCTTGATTTTGGCTCAGGTCCTGATCTCAGGGTCCTGGGGTCGAGCCCTGCATGGGGCTCCCTATTCCGTGGGGAGCCTGCTTGTTTCCCTTCTCCTCTGCCCCTTCCCCACCTCATGCTCTCTCTCTCTCTCAAATAAATAAATCTTAAAAAAATAAAAATAAAATGGTTAAGATACACACAAAGCCAGAGTTTGCTAACCTCTACTGCAGATCAATAATTTTAAAACATATTTTCATTTAAAGTTTTTGTTTACATTTTATTACATAAAATTCACATAAATAATATATGAATCCTCTAAATACAAAGCTCAAATCTTTTTTGAGACTTCAGATATTCAAATACCAGCGCCCTTCCTGAATAATAGCTGTTATTGACAGGGAGGAGTGTAATCCTTATAGAACTTTCCAGAACTTTCCCCTAGTATTGTGTGTATGTGTGTATTTTTACATATATGTGTGTATACACAAATAGAAAGATTGTTTTTAAATTTAAAAATACATTCATTGTTCTTAAAAAAATGAAAATTGTATATTATATGTTATGTGTCTTTCACTACAATAAAATAAATTACTGATAGAAAAATCTACTTACAGAAGTCAAATCTCTGTATTAAATAAAGCAAGGGTTCCCTTATTAACTTTTATCTCTTGAAAGTTTTCTCACGCATACAAAATTACAGAGAAAATAATAAATTCACCTCGACCCATCCCCTAGATTCAATGACAACCAGCATTTTGTCCCACTTGCTTCACAGGGTCTTTTTTTTTTTTTTTTTAAAGATTTTATTTATTTATTTGAGAGAAAAACAGTGAGAGAGAGCGTGAGAGAGGAGAAGGTCAGTGAGGAAGCAGACTCCCCGTGGAGCTGGGAGCCTGACACGGGACTCGATCCCAGGACTCTGGGATCATGACCTGAGCCAAAGGCAATTGGTTGACCAACTGAGCCACCCAGGTGTCCCACACAGTGTCCTCTTTGTTCTTGCTGTTACCACTATACCAGTGTAATGTGAAAATCAGAGACTTTATGTCAACCGGACCTTCTCTCAACCATTTTCAAAGATGCGGTTCAGAACATCCAAGGGTAAAAAGCAGGGCAAACCCCCACCCCCAGGAGTGGTGGACACTGCTTCAGATCCAGCTCCTGGGGCACAAATGTGCTGGCCACCAAGCTCTGATGTTTAAAAGTCTGCGTAAGTGTCCTAAAAAGTGAAACGTACACCTGCCATACCATCCAGCCATTCCTAGGCAACTACCCGAGAGAAAAGACAACAGATATCCTTACAAAGCCTTGCCTACAAATGTTCAGAGCTCTTTTACATGCAATAGCCCCAAAATGGGAAACAGCCCAAATGTCCATCAACAGGGCCAATAGATAAACAAATCATGGTCTACCCACACAATGGAATGCTACTCAGCTACAAGAAGGAATCCACTATTGATAAATACACACACGACGTGACACGTCTCAAAATAATTATTCTAAGTGAGAGAAGAGAGACAAAAAAAAAAAAAAAGGAACTGGTTGCATTTAGAGAAAAATCTAGAAAACACAAACTGATCTATATAGGAACAGAAAGCAGGTCAGTGGCTATTTGGGGGTAGGAGGAGGGGCCAGGAGTGGTTACAAAAGAAGCAGCTTGTAGGTGCTGGAGATGTCTGGAATCCTGATAGTAATACACGTTCATGGGTGTGCACATGGTATGTCAAAACTCATCTATGTGCACTGTAAACAGATACAGTTTCCTGCACATCCATTATACCTCAAAAAAAGCTGTTCTAAAAAAACCTAAAACCCCGCATGAGGCATCAACCACAAGTGGGTTAGACCTAGTAGGTATTTTATGAGCTTCTCCTTATTAAATAGATTAAATAAAAATACTTTTCAGCAATTTAGTTGCTGGTAGTTTCCCTCCTTCTGCTACTGCTTGGTGACCAGCCAAGGCAAGGAAGGAAATAGGGACCCTAATGAGGGAAACCAAGGGAGTTTCTATTAAGAGTTTTTTAACCTAAATTTTAATTTCTTAATAAAACAGTCATTCGTATGTGAGAAAGCCAGGGCCCTTTTGCTCTTTGCACAGGAAATTAATTAGTTAATTAATTAATTAAAAAAAAAACTGGCAATTACATTTGTAAATAATACTTAACGCTAAGGAGTGCAGAATCACAAACCCAAAAGGGACTTGAAAAGTCCTGGCATTAGAGAAAAAAAATGTGTTTCATGCTTCACGAGGGGCTTCTGATTCTTTCCTGGGCTCTTTTTCCAGTAAGTGAAGCTAATCACTGGAAAACCAGATGTGCCAAACACGGGGGCTCCTTACCTTTTCTCCAGGTTCCTTAGGAAGCTTGCCACTTAGCTCAGAACACTTCTCGTACTTGACTTCATTGCTTGACACTGGACTCGAAAACCTGTACAGAGATCCACGTTACTTGTTGGGGGCCAGAATCGGTGACTCCCGCCTGTCCACACCCCATGACTAGCTCAAGAACCCAGGGGTGAGATCAGCATTGAGATCAACAAAGCAACAGGACGCATCCTTTCCAGTCACCAAACCAAGAAGGGCTCGGTGGGGGGCAGCTTACCTCAAACACAGCATCGTTGGGGTAGCAGGAGCCCCAGGCCTGGGTGAAGAGACCTGGGTGCTAGTCCCCGGCTCTGCTCTCTCCCCACTGCGGGAGCTGGGGCTGTGCTTGTGACCTCACCTGAGCCTCTGTCTCTTCATCTATAAAACGGGGATAATTAACACCTCCCCATCGTCTTTTGTAGGGCAGATAAGAGGCTACCCAAGGCCCTAATAGCTATGTGAGGGCGTTTAGGGAAGAGTAAAGATGCCCCAGAAGGGATAATTAATGGTTGTTGTTAGCAACCCCGGGGACAAACAGCAGCCCCACCACAGTCCTGCCACGGGACTCGGGGGTGGTGGGCTGTCTTGGAATGTGTGGGGGCACGGGCCTGTCACTGCCTCTCTGGGTAACCTTGGCCAAGTCATTGTCCCTCTCAGGGACTCAGTTTCTCCACTTGTTAAGGGGAAGAGAAAGAAAGAGTATTCTGGTGCTAGAATATTCCCATCTCTCAAGATCTCTGTGGAATGGATGCCTAAAGATGAGATCAGGACTAGGGGCTGCAGAGACAAGGGAGGGGAGGGAAATAGACCACTTCACCTTTCCCCACACTACAGTCCTCCAGGGTCTGCCTCCCGGGAGGCATGAAGCTGTGGATGAGTTATTCCCACACTCAAGCCTCAGTTTCCCCATCTGTCAGATGGAAAATAGTCTGAGGCACTAGGAGGACACGGGAAAAGGTGTGTGAGACCCCTGGCTTGCAGGCCTCTTTCTCTGTTACCTTAACTCGGGCCTGGCTGCACGGGACAATCACTTGGTACACTTTTACAAACAACTAAGATAGGAGCCCCCTCCCCAGACCAATGGAATTGAATCGCAATCTTGAGGTGGTGGTAGGAGGGGAGTGTCCCAGGCCTCGGGATTTTTTTCCAGATGATTCCAAATGCTGAGAGCCATGGGTCTGACCCTGGCCCAGCTCACTGCCCTGGTTCCCAGGGCTGGGAGGGCAATGGTCTCCCAGAGGTGGCCCCTGGAAACTTCGACCAGACAAAGGTATGTCAGTGGCATGCATGTCATTGAGGAGCTCGTGGCCACACCTAGTGGCATCTCCCTGTTGCAGCCAGGAAGCCACTTGTGGGAAAGCAAAGGAGCAAGAGATGGCGAAGGCCGGCTGAGCTTAGAAAACCCTCAACTAACAGGATTCACCATGTCATTCAGAGCTACAACGGAGAGATGGCTTCCCGTGGGCAGAGTGATTCACAGCATTATCTGGGAGTCTTGGCCTTAATCCTTTAAGGAAATTTCCATTTTAAAGACAAAGAAACCAAGGCTCAAAACAGGAAGGGGCTTGCTCAAGCTATCTTGACCCATTTGGGGGTCATTCCTAGAGTCTGAGGCCATCCAGTAACGTCCTCAGTCTTCTGGAAAGGCAAGCTTAGCCAGGGACCCAGGCCGTGCTGGAGTACATGGGGGTTCCAGACTTCCTCATGGTAGTTCATCTCTCCTATCTGCATCTGTGAAATGGGCACAATACCTCCCACAGGAAAGTGCAAAGAGGAGAAAGAACAAGGAAATGGAGCTGCTGGCATACACTGAACCTGGAGGGAAGCTGTGTTAGCTCTCTGCACCTCAGCTATTTATCTGGGAAATGGAAGCTACGGGCATCTCCTCTCAGGGGCTGTGGGTAAATCGAGAGTGGGCTGTAAGGCAGCTAGCGTGGAGCCTTGTGCCGGTTCCCTTTCCTGAGGAGGCCCTGGTTGGCAGTCTGAGGCAGCTCAGGGCTGAGAAAAGCCTGTGGAACGTTCCCACTTACAGTTTGGTCAGATCCACTGACAACGGGCGTGCCTGGAACGTCTTCTTTCTGATCTCTGGCTTTGCCTCGGAGCTCTCGACAGCCCAGCCTTTGATCCTCTCCTGGACACTCACACCCACTTTCTCGGGCCCTGGGGCAGCCGACGGGGGCTCAGGGGTGGCCGGTGGGTGTTTGGAGTCTGCTGCCAAGGCCAAGGTGCTCTCCTCCCCAAACAGGCTGATGCGCTTCTTGATGCTGCCCCTGAGGGTCCATCCTCCCTCCGGTCGGCTGTCCCCGTCGGCTGCTCTGCTCTTGACCTCAGAAAACTCTTGATCTTTTCCAGGTCTGGGCGAGGGGGACGGGGGTGCCTTCTCTGGCTCCCTGAGCAGCTTAGCCTTCTCCTTCCCAGGAGGCTGGTCCTCTGTGGGGGTGCCCTGGGCTGAGCCCCCCACAGGCCTGAGGCTGCCCGTCTCCGCCTGCTTGAAAAGCATCTTCTCCTTCTGTTCTCGGGTCTTCTTGGCTACCTCCAGGACATCTGAGTCTGGGTCCCTAAGGCGAGGGTTTGCTCTAACCAAACACTCTGTGCTCACTCGGGTCTCCGGGTCGGACCTCTCCGGTCCCTGACACTGGGCAATGGAACCTGCGGTGGCCTCGTTGGCCACCTTCTTTAGCAAGGCCTCTTTGCTCTCAAATGGGGCCGTGAGGTCCATGGACAGAGGCCTGGGCTTCCTCACCCACGTCTTCTCAGGCGGGGTGGGAGGCGATTTTCCCCCTGCAGCCGCCCCACCGGGGCCTGGCTTCTGAGACTGAATGGAGTCAGTGAAGATGGCCGACACAGGCCTTCTCCTCAGGCGAGGCTTGGGCTCCAGAGTGGGGTCTCCCGTGTCCTCTACACTGCTGGCCTTTGACAGAGTCTCATTTGGGCCTGTCTCCTCTCGGGGGGCAGCTGGCCTGATGTCCTGGGGCAGGGAGGCCGGTCGGGGAAGGGTCCCAGGCTTTCGGGCAGGCAGAGCAGGCTTGGCAGCCCCCTCAGGCCGGGAGCCCGGAGCGGGTTCCTGAGACACACCCGTGGTGGCCTCCCGAGTCCCCTCACTGATCCCCTTCCCCAGAGCAGGGCCGGCTTTGATGGTTTCAAAGACAATCATGGTGTTGGATCGGGGACGTAGGAAGGTGGTCTTGTTGAACAGGGACGAGCTTCTCCTCAGGCCCTCCCCGTTTCCCGCCTCCTGCTCCACCAAGCCAGGCATCTTCTCACTCAGGTCCTTTGCCACCACATCCTGGGGGTGCCCACAGGGAGGAGATGGGCTAGTTGGGCTGGGCCCTGGGGATCGGACAAGGGGCTTCACATCCGGGACCTTATCCCTGCAGAAGGGCTTGGGGGCAAGTCTGGGCAGTGGGAGTAAACGGGCTGGGCTCCTAAGGGGGCTTTTCCCTTCCAGAAGCAGTGCTGAGGGTGCCCCAGGGGCGTCTCCGGCCTGGCAGAAGTAGGTCCGCTTCAGGGTCTCCTCCTTGGAGATCTCGCCAAGGCCTGGCACTCCTGTCAGGGGAGTTAGAGCGCCGACCTCCACCCGTGTTGCCATGGCTACGGTTGTGGCTCCATGGGGATTAAGAACATCCGAACTAGGGAAGCAGCCACTATAAGGAAAAAGCAAAGGAGAGGGAAAAAATACATTTAAATGTCAGTGTCTGGGTCCAACCCGAGCGTTGTGGGGGAATGGGCCCAGGATGTCTGGAACCACTCTCCACTGACCTCACGGGGGAAGCCTGGGCCCTCCTCTCCACCTCTCTGAACTCCGGGCAAAGGGAGTGGACCAGATACCATGTTGGAAGTCTGTCCCAGCCCCAAGACAGAGAGAGCAGGGGACAAGCCGCAGGGCACCCAGTTACAGAGGACTGGAGGCCCCGAGGTCACAAAGTTGGCTAGTGGTCCCCAGGTCCACTAGACTGCCCCTCATTGCCACCTTCCCCCACATGCCCTTCCAGGTGCCTTGAAACAAAAAGCCATTTCTTTTTTCAGTCCACCTGCTCTGTTTCTTGCTTTGCCTTTGAGTTCTTTTCTGTTGAACATCTAGTCCACACTGGCTGCCTTCAGAGCCTCTGTAAGAAGAGTTCACAGCCAAGAGTGAGGGTTTACCCCAAGTGAGGCCTCAAGGTAGGCCAGGTGCTTACATGTTCTAGAAACCACATCCTCCTTATAACCCTACGAGGTGGGTATGGTGATCATTAGACTCCATTTCACAGCGGCTCTGGAGTAAGACCCTTGTTCACCCAGCCAGGAGCTCGTCCTCTCTTACTAATCTTGCACAACCCTGAGAAGCAGGGGTCATTGCTATCACTATGAGGGCGAAGAGAAAGGGCCTAGAGCGGTCACGCAGCTTGGCAACATTGCACAGCCGGAGCTCGACCTCACATCCTCACCCCATTCAACAAGGTCTTTTTTTTTTTTTTTAAAGATTTTATTTATTTATTTGATAGACAGAGGTCACAAGTAGGCAGAGAGAGCAGGGGAAACAGGCTCCCCGCTGGGTAGAGAGCCTGACACAGGGCTTGATCCCAGGACCCTGGGATCATGACCCGAGCCAAAGGCAGAGGCTTTAACCCACTGAGCCACCCAGGCGCCCCTCAACAAGGTCTTCTTAAACATCACATCGCATTCCTTTCTGGTCTGAAAAAGTGCCAGACAAGTCGCTGTTCTTGATTCCCGCACTGCCCCCCGCCACCAGCCTGCCCCCATCTTCATGCCCGTGTTCTCTGTCCCTGCAAAAGCTGCCCCCAGCATGTCCCCATCTCGATGGACTAAACGTAGAAGGTATTTTATAAACGCGAGCCTCCTGCTTCCCTTCCTGGGGCCCCACTCTGCTGCCCCCGGCTCTGACTCACTCAGCAGACTGCAGGAAAGAAAGGCAGACAGATTTTGATATTTTCTCTTCCTTCCACGCTCGATGGTGCTAACAGATTTCTTCTCCCCAAAACCAGAGAATGCTGTCTAGACAGGGCTAGGGGCAGCAGAGAGGGAAAGATATGGAGAATCGGAGAACAGCAGGGTCGTAAGGCACAACAGGTCCTGGCCCCAATCAGGACTGTTCACCTTCAGAGCCAGTCCCCATGACCTCTTGGAAACCGTGCTCTGGGACACCCCCCCCCCACATACACACATACACACGTAGCCCAGACATGAGACACAGGCAACAGCGAGATTCAAAAGACAGAGAGAAAATTCCCTGGCAGAACCCACAGGCGCTCTCCATCTCCTGGACACTCCGGTCCCACTTACCGGAGCTGGCAGGCCCTGGCTGGGGATGCGTGCCTGCCCAACAAAGCCAACTGTGTCACATCTCATGGCGATCAGGGCTGGCTGCACCCTCCCATGGCAGAAGCGGGTAGGGGAAGGGAGGCTCGTTCCCCCCAACTGGGCTGAGTTTCTGCAGGTCTGGGAGACACAGGACCACAGCCTCAGTTCTGGAGTTCCGGAAGTATGTGCACAGACGGCACAAAAGCTTTGGAGCTCCAACTGCATCCGTTGGCATCATCTCCAGCTTGTAAAACGCACACTCCTTGCGGCTTCTCAATATCATAGCAGAAAGGGGGCTGAGTCCACGCTGGGCGCTCAAAAAAAATCTCCCCCATTCCTCTGCTACGTGTTTACTGGGCACCTACCCTGTGCACAAGACGAACAAGAAAAGTCTCCTGCATGCAGGGAACTCACAGTCTTGTATAGAAAACAAACACACACATACACACATACAGAAGCAATTACAACTCTGGGTAACAAACGCTGCGGTATGTAAAGGGGGAAGCGGGAGCACAGGAATAGTAGTCACTGCTTAGGACTGGGCATGGTGATCCCAGAAGACTCCCTAGGCTGAGAAGTGATGCCAGAGAACTCCGGTGCTGGCTAATCTAGGAGCTATTTTTTCTGGCTCAGAAGTATTTGCACATTGCATCTCTCACAGGTCTTAAAACACCACCCCAGGGCCTTTGCACATGCTGTCCCTGCTTTCCAGGATACCCTTCTCACTCACACACAGACACAGGCCCAGTCCTCAGACACAGCTCCAACATCTCTGCCCCTACCAACACACACACACACACACACACACACACCTGATATGATCTTTGTCTTACACGTCCATAGAGCACCAGACATCCTTGGCAGGACTCATCACAGCCACACAGTTGTATTTAATGCTGCATAAGACTTCAGTCTTTGTCATCCAATGGCAAGCCCCCAGAGGGCACCCTGAGTTCCCAGAAGCAAGCACAGTAGCCTGGCATGTCACAGCTCTGCATATATCACTGTTGATTATATACATAAAATAATGCTTGGTGGAATGAAGAAACAGGTGAATGAAGAGATCTTCTTCTGCTCCCCAGGCTCCTGTGATTCTGAATAAGGGCAGGTACTGTGAGTTTTGTGACATGAAGCAACTGAGGACACAGGGGGACTTAACTCTGGCCCTGGCAAGCTGGGTAGTGGCCATCGGTCACTTGCTACTGGATGACAAAACCCAAGAGCTGTAAAGAGTTCAGCTGGGATCTCAACCTACCTACCTCACTGAGAGCACCCCCTCCCCCCTGTTTCTCTATGGTCCCAGACATGTCCCGTTAGACACCTGCTATGACGACATGAACCCCATGTCATCCTGTCCTGTCGCCAGCACCTCTGCCCAAGCCTGGGATGAATGCTTGTCTGCACAGCTTGTCCCGGGAAGGCGGTCGCCCAGAGCAACCGCTGGCAAATCAGGATGGATGGTGCATGCGTGTCGCCCTACTTGGGGATTCCCAATCCCAGCTCAGTAGCCACCCTGCAGGGAAGTAAAGGGGGAAAGACTCTTGGTCTGTACCCCTCTTAACTGGAACAGTGGCTCTGTTATCTGGTATGTGCTCCCATCTCGATCTTCCTCTCGAGTTCCCACTTAAAATGCTTGGCAAATACCTGGTATGTAAATATGGCCGCATCAACAAATCCATGAATTAATGGATATATCTGTGAACAAATGGGGGGAAAGAGACAGGTTGTTTCTTTTCTTTTCTTTTCTTTTTTTTTTTTTTTGAACCACTGCAATAAACAGCTAAAGAACATTTTGAAGTCTTTCCCAAACCCAGAAACACGAGACTCTTGGGGGTTCACTTAACCTGTTGTAAAAAAACATAAGGCAATGGATTGAAACGTGCACTTTAAAACCTTCACTTAAATGCATCGCATATGTCATGCTTAATTTAAGACATGTCGGTCTCTTCCAAAACACTTTGGAAGCTCTCTCACACAGAGGCCAGCTGCTATGCCTTGTGCGGCCTCGCTCGCTCTTTGCAATTGTGTGAGCACCATGGCCAAAGCCAGGCAAACAGGAGCTCCCTGAACAAGGAAGGGGTGCAGAGTGCGAGCCACCTCTCTTGTTTGGATAGGTGTGAATCACCGCACGGGGTGGAGTGGGGAACAGATGGGCAGCAGGGCTGATCTGGGAGGTCAGGGGTCCACCGTGGCCCAAGGGGCAGAGGACGCCAGCCTGACCTCAGGTAACGGGGGCAGCAGTGGATATGTCCCCACTGCTGACCCTGCCACGTCTATAGGCTGGATCTCTCTGAGTGTTTCTGCAAAGTCTGAAATGCCCATTTCCTGCAATTTTAGGCATTTCCTGGGAACTGAGGCACTAAGGCCCACCGTTGCTGAAATTCAGGGGCACTCATTCCAGAGCCTCCGTCCGTCCATCCCTCCTTCTGACTCTCCTGCAAAGCAGGCTCTGGGCTCTGTGCTGGGGCTAGGGGGTAGTGATATCCCTTATCGCTCACAGCCTCCTCCTCTCGACAGAACCACACAGGGAGAAGGCAAGAGAAACACCTCCATTCAAAACCAAACAGTTTGGCAGCTTTTCTCTCAGATTCACAGGCGTTGATTCGTTCTAACAGCTGCTGCAGATCTTTTGTAATTACACCCTTAAATCCGATCTGGGAGCTCACCAGTCATTCACTCAGCCGTCTCTGGGTGCTGCTTCCTGGGAATGCCACCATCTGCTGAGGGGTGCCAGCCAGTCCTCACGCCTTCCGGTGTCTTCCGGAATGTGACCTGGCTTCCCGAGTCTGCAAAGACACCCCGCGGGGGGGGGGCACCATGCCAGGCGCCAAGTGCGTTGTGCCCGTGGCCTCCCAGGAGGGCAGGGCCCCAGAGGGAAGGGGCCTGATGGCTAATGGCACTGGAGTGAACGCGTCCTCTCCTCCCCGTCCCCATGGCAACAGCCCTAGCTCTGTTGCCCGTTCATTCATCCGTTCACTCACTTCAATCCACAATTATGGAGCTCTAGGCCAGGTGCTAGGGACATGGCAGTGAAGAAAACAAGGGGCTATGTCCCCCGTCCCCACGGAGCCAGCAGTCAAGAAGACGGGAGTAAAGAACATAAACAAGCGAGAGACATAGAAAGTCAGATAAGCGACAATAAAAAGGGGAGGGGCCCCAGGGAAAAGCTTCAAGAAGAAGGGACACGGAAAATCCGCCTCCTCGCTGGCATTCCTGTCTCTGCTGGAGCCTCCTCCAGTCGCCTCCAGCAGCACCGGAGGGAGGTTCTGACATGCAAGCCCCATCCACACGTGTCCAATGCCTTCCCTGAGACCCAGCAGGATCCCGATCCCCTTCATCTCCTCCCTGTCCATCTGTCTGTCTCTCACACACTTACTTTGGGACAATGAACTCCCAGACCGGTCACAAGACACACTATGCTCTTCCTCGCCCCCTACGCCTCTCCACAGTCATTGCCCGCTGCCTGACTAATCCCTAATCATCCTTCCATCCTGAGCTCCAAAATGCCCCCTCCTCCAGGAAGCCTTTCCTGATGCCCTAAGGCAGCTTCAGGCGCCTCCTCTGTGCTGTGGGATCTAAGTCTCGGTGTTTCTGCTTAGTCCAGCGCTGATCACACACATGGTGACCGCCTATTTCAGATTCCACTAGACCGGGTGGTCCTGCGTCCTGGGTCCAGCTCATAGCTGGGTCCTCAGGGTCTGACAGCAGAAGGGACAGAAAGCCAGTATGCTAAAAAGTATCTGAAAGGAGAGCATCTCTTTCAGAGAGAAGAAAATAATAGCATTCAATTAGGCGTGGCCATGGGAAAATGGATACGCTCATCTGCTCCCAGGGCCAATGTCAGTTATGAAAGCAGTTTGGCAATATCTGCTCTCAACTACTATTTTCTGAGACTCCATCAAGAGTCAGGCACCAGACTCCGTGATTCCGTGTACCTTCTGCCTCCTCCCATTTAATACACTCAACCACCTTGTGCTTCTCAAATTATGACTACCATTCTAGAGACGAGGAAAACACAGTTTTGAAAAATGAGCCAGATCACATGCTAAGGAGGGGCAGAGCTGGGGCTGAAATCTGCCGACTGTAAATCAGTGTTTTTCCCCACTATACTCAGCCCCAAAGAAAGCATTTCTTTTTGATTCAGTAACCCTGCTTCTTTTATCCCCCCACAAAAGATTCTATTTATTTATTTGACGGGGGGGGGCAAGCAGACTCTGCACTGAGCACGGAGCCTGAGGCGGGGCTCGATCTCACGACACCGAGATCGTGACCTGAGCCGAAATCAAGAGCTAGTCTGCTCCACCAACTGAGCCACCCAGGCGCCCCCAGCCACCCTGCTTCTAAAGATTTATCCTACGGAAGGAATCTAAGAGAAGAGCAGGTCACCTACAGAGAGATGCCCATTTCAGTGTTAACCTATACGCAAACCCAGCGTTAACCACCCCTAGATTTAGGATGATAAACCCTTCTTTGAGAAAACCCAGGACTCATATGCCATTTGAAATGTCACAGAAGTTGCAATGTCAGCAGGCAGACCAGACCTCCAGTGTCCAGCCAGCCCAGAACATCACGAGTGGCAGAAAAATCATGCCCCACAGCAGAAGCAGGTCCCGCTGTGACCCCAGATTACAGATGAAGACACAGCCGGAGCAGCAAAGTGACCTGCCCACGGGTGGCTGGAGTTATGCTGACCTAACCCCATCCTCCTTCCCGTCAGATTTCTTCCAAAGTCCACATGGGCTTAACTAGAATAACTGCCTTTTTTTTTTTTTTAAAAGAACTTCAAGTGTGGTTTTTTTTTTTTTTAAGATTTTATTTATTTATGAGAGGGGGGGTGGATGGGGGAGGAGCAAAGGGATAGAAAGAAGCAGATTCTGCCGTAAGCGTTGAGCTGGATGCGGGGCTGTATCTCACGACCCTGAGATCATAACCTGAGCTGAAAGCAAGAGTCAGACACACAACCAACTGAGCTACCCAGGCTTCCTCGAATAACCACTTTTGACGAT